TAGGCACGTGCACCTGCGTAGTCCGCTCTGCTCATATCTGCTATTCTGGTCTGATATTCGCTTCAGGCATCCTTCACAGCCTTCGGTCCCTGCTGTGGACGGCTTTGTTTGTTTTGGTTGTCATCTATACCTGCGCAGTCTTTTGCACCTGGGCCTATTACGTGAGTCATGGTTTCACTCACCATTACAAGAAATGCAGCGCATATTTGCTTGAGGCAGCTAAGCAATGACTCGAAGCTGCTAAATTCGTGGGAGGGAGGGGGGCAACGGAGGTGACTGGTGCAGAGGGAAATATGTGAAGGAACTAATTGAACTGAGCTCGCCATTTTTCCGCGTGTTCCCTCCTTCAGGATGAAGACGACGCGGAGATGCGGCTTTTGTGGGGAAATTTGGTGCTTTCCATGTTTACTCTTTTCACTGTACTCACGCTTGAAGGTGAGTCTGGAGTTTTGAGCTCTAGTGAGGGTTGTGTTGGTGCTTGCAATTGCAGCAGACATGTGGTTTTTAGCGAAACCAGTTACCATTTGTGAGCTTTCTCTGAGCATCCGCAGAAGTGTTTTGATGCGTTTGGGGGTTGCAGGCTGGAACAATGTGGCCACAGCGACTGCAGAAAAGCACCCATTTAGTCGGATCTTCTTCGTGGCGTATATTTGTTTCACAACGTTAACACTTTTGAACATCGTCACAGGTAGGCTGCTGATAATCTCGTGCGTTGCCTCTCACATTGCAGATTGACGGGACTCCGCTGGTGCTTCTCCGTTCAGTAGTGGCCAGATTTTTTGAGCTTCACAAAAAGACAACGATCATTGGCAATTGGGGCCTTCTTTGTTTCTTGCAATTTTAGGGATTATCCTAGACGCATATGTAGACATGTCCAACCGACTTCTGAAGGAGGCAAACTACAAGGATGACTTGGAAAAAGACATTCACAATGAGAAAGTGCTGTTGTCAGCTTTTGAGAAGACGTCATTCCTCGTCTGCATGAGGCCTGCAGTGTCGACGTTTTCTTCTGAAGGCAGCGCCTTCACCACCGCGAATTTGGAGCACACCACGAGTGGTTGGGCTGGCGGGGATTCGGGGCAAGACAGCACTATACCGACACTCTTAAGAGAAGGCGAATCGCCGGCAACCTGGCGGCACGCGGTTGCCAGCAGCAGCATGGTCACGCAGGCGGCGGCCTCCGCTTCTCAGAGCCCCAGGGCACCGACGTGTGCAGCAGGCGCTCATTTCGAAAGGAAGCTAACAGGGGTTGCCAGCGAAGACAGTACAGCTCGCCCGTCGACAGAAAGTGCAACGGACTCTGAGCCTCTTCAGATCAGAACGCACTTGCCGGACTCGCTTCAGTTAGATGGGATCAACATCCGCACGTGCGTTAGATACTTGCGCATTGGAGGTCATAAGCCCATGGATATTCTCCGTGATCCAACGGTTCAGGATGCACTGCAGGTCAGAAGACAACAACATCTTATAACATGTTCTTCTGACCAGTGTATGAATCCTCTGCATCTAGATGCAAGGCCATAAAGATGGCATACTTTCTTTAGAGGGCCATCCTACTCGGTGAAATATGACTTCGTTTTGTACTGTGGGAATGCAGGCGGCGCGTATACCTTTCTACCAAGCATTTGACGTCCTCAGCATGTTCCATCAACGCGGCATACAATTCGTCACTGGTACGGCTGTGAGACTTGTTCGTTATTTGTACAGGGAGTGGGTGTACGCAGTTTCTATTCTAATATTCTAACTCCTAAATCAACTGCGTGGTGGGGCTTGCCTTTGGTTTTGCAGTGAAGGAGTTCGCTGAAGCATGTAGCCGCGTAGTCGGCTCGGCAACAGGACGACAACTGCTCCAAGTGCAGCTGGAGCTTCAGCAAAAGCTGTGCGCTCTTGAGCAGTGTATTCGTTCGTTACCTCGACAGAAACAGTTTAGGAGCAATTACAGCACAACGTCAAAGCTCGACCTGTCGTGACAAAGCTCGTTAAGCAAGAGGGGCAGCCGCGCCAATGTTCAAGAAGACTAACTGCAGTGGCAAAACGCTGAAGATTCCAAATAGTTTTATGAACGGGGTGCCACGCATACATCTTCCTCGCGGTTTTAACTTCAATTCAGTTGACGGATATGTGAGCGTGCAACTACACACGGCGACAAAAGCGGGCTTTCTGCAGGTGAAAGGGAAATGCCCCAAGGTGATAAGCCAGGTGGCAATCTGACCGATACTGCTTGTCGTTGTCGCGAGGGCTTTGACGGGGACTACTGACTTCAGCTATCCATTGGAGCCCAAGGCGCACGAGGTCGTAATGTTTGCTGTTACTTTGGTACTGTACATCTATAGTTGTGTAGCCCACCTCTGGCAACGGCAAGCAAATCATTTGTCCCTCTTTCAAAGTGCAGGCATCTGTGGAACATTGCATTCATGCAAAACGTTTGTGTGCCTATATGTACCAGTAAACATGTGAAGATGTCTTTTTATTGACGAATACGTCCAAGCGTTTGCTTCCTTCAGCACTCCAGAAACGCTGGGGTAGGTGAGCCATGTGATGAAGCTGTTTCCAAGGCTGCCACTCTTTGACTAGGGCTTTTTTCACAGCAAAGTGCAACAGACTGCGCAGACTTCGAAGTGCAGTGCCAGCAGAGATATCCTCTCCCACTGGACCCTCGAATGTTTTCGCGTTGAGAACAGCATGCAAAGCCCACGCAACTGATTCGTGCACGCTTCAGTGGACGATTTAATTAATTGCAACTGGAAGTTGTGGAGCAAATAACGTGAGTAGGAATCACGCAGTTGGCTTATACCGGTACAAAGGCTCTCGTGCGATAGTGATAATGGACACTGTCGCCGTGCGAGCACTGCCGATCACGACTGTCGCATGCATCAATAGTACGGCTTTTTCTTCAGTGGAGCTTTTGCTGGCCTATAGCTTTGCAAGGCTATATCCATACCCTCTACCAGCCATGACTTAGTAGCATGGGGCAGCCAGCTGAATCTGGCACTGAATCTTTGCTGCGCTTATCACATCGAATCCTAGTCTTGAGACTCTCCCATGTGCGGAGATGCACTCTATAGCGCGGCGACTGTGCACTGCAAAGCCCACTATTCAATTTCGTGCGAACCAACGGTCCAGTCGACCCAGCAAATAGCACCGGGTTCTCCAGGTGTGACTTGGTAGTTCAGAAGGAGTTTTAATAGATGCTACTGTGCCTCAAGGCAAATCTTCGGATGCTCTATTCTGCGCAGTTGAGTCAATTAGCTGCAGAAACGTACGTTGCTTGAGACATCTCTTTTGTATGTGGGCCACGAATGTCCGGCAGCCATTACCCAACAATCGCCTTGAAGTTTCGATACCAAACCAAACCACTGGTTATATATGCCACTGGCATCCTACCAGTCAGTGAGGCAGACGGCGCTGTGGAGTTAGTATGACCAGAAAAGGCAAACCAGGCGTCATGTGTTAATCACAACGCGTCAGTAAAAAACAGCAAAAACATGTTCGAGAAAATTTGATTGCTCGTCATGTTTCAGCCTCTTGCGTTGACCGTCTGCCGCTCGGACGAACGAAGTAGCCATGCGAGCATTCACTCCGAAATTTGCCCATATATGGATATATAGTCTCTTACTTTTATACTGTGCGCAAGCTCTGAAGGAGTGGGCGAGGCGACGGGCGACACTACAAGTAGCTCGTAATTCTGGGGAGGACCGTAGAGAGACCGTCGCGCAAACCTTGAAAGAATCAGCAGGTTTCGCTTGCTTTACCGTATCTTGCACCGGAAGAAAGACTCCTTCGAGCTGGGCATCACTGCCTGCCAGTTCGTTTCCAACTACACCAGCCTTCGCACAACTGCGTTTTTATTAACTCCCGTTTGCTACCGTTCTAATCATAGTACTTTCAAATTGTCCATACTCTGTTTTTCTTCTCTTCATTTTTGCCTCAGGTTCCTCTGGAACAAAAGATACGTCGTATATTACTACGCGAATAAAACTCCTGAAAACCCAGCACTTCTAATTTATATTTATATTCACACGTTGAACAGTTCCGTTGTTAAGTAGTGGGACATAAGCTACTCTTTTGAGTGTTGCGCTGTTCACGTGGTGGCTGGTGCACTAAGAGCCTCGGTAAGTAGGTGTCCCCGTGCATAGACAAATACACAGGCTGAAATTGCTTTCTAACGCCACTGGCGCCTCTCCTATTACTGGTGAGCTACTTCTAGACCTACAGAAAAGGAGCTTTTTCTATGTATCACAACATTCTTATTGCAAATCCAACTCTTCCATCTGCACACTTCGTACTCGTCTGCAAAGCAGTCACTCGACCAACGTTGAAGGCAGCGAAGCTTTGATTTAATAGGCGATCTAGCAAGCTTAAATGGAACGCAGATTGCACAGTGACGAATGGGAGATCATGTGGAAGCGCAACTGCACTCGGACAGGAGGAAAGTAGATAACGCAGATGCGATGCAGCCTTATCTCCATCTAGCAGCTCCGCGTCAAAAAGCATTTTCAAGCTTCTCGACAGTTGGTTAGCTGCGCAATGCTTTGCTCTTCTGCTGGCGTTGAAAACCAAATATGGTCCTTGTAAATGCATAGCTATAGGAACAGTGGGCGTGTGTTGAGGCTGTAGGGCTAGCATCTACCATGGAAAAGGTGCAGAAGCAATTTTGTCCTGACGCAGCCGCTGGTGGAGCAGCAGCTGCTCCAGAGCTTCGTAGAGCAACTGCCTACTTTTCACTATCCACAGAAACTGCATAAGCCTCTGCGTGAGCAGGAAACCAGGTTCGTATTCGTCCCGTGAGCAGTGCACATGCAAAAAGTCTTCCGGCGAGATACTGCACGGAGCATCTCCTTCAGAGATGCACGAGGACGTAGTGGAAAGTTGACATGAAAAACTAAGTATGGGTACAAAACATGCATTGTGACTGTAATCCTAAGGGGAAGAGAAATGAGACGATCATGTCTGCTCATACTGCCTTAGCTCGAGCCGGACTGGCACGCGGTGATAGTGGGCTGGGGCGGACTCCCTTTCGTCAAGCACACTAAGGGAAGAGCAAGCCAAACCTACTGATTCTTCAGCGCTTGACACAGCGGTCTTGCACTGTTTCGAGCCTTCGCTGTGATATTTCCAAGCCTTGACGATGCCGTTCTGGGTGGCTGCGTGGTGTTTGAAGAGTCACGTTGTTCCGCCACTTCGTCTTCGTGTCTGGTATCTTTTAGCCAGCGCTAACGAAGGGATTGGGCACGCTGAACAGAGCAGAGACAAAACGAACGCAGGGTCATATCGTCGTAAGTAGTCGTATATCAGACTCGTTTGCCATTGCAGCTGACAGAATGCAGTTCGGCAAAGTGAACCTAGTCTTTTAGCCAGCGCTAACGAAGGGATTGGGCACGCTGAACAGAGCAGAGACAAAACGAACGCAGGGTCATATCGTCGTAAGTAGTCGTATATCAGACTCGTTTGCCATTGCAGCTGACAGAATGCAGTTCGGCAAAGTGAACCTAGACATAAATTGACTAGCATCCATGAAGAGCAAAGGCGCAAGTGCAATGTTCCACTCATGAAGGCCTGGAATCTGTGTAGGCTATAGATGGCTTGGTTGTGGTTGGAGTACCTCCATGATGTCAGTTGCGTTGTTGGCTGATATGATGAGAATGCTGCTGGCAACCAGTGGTGATCCTAGCTCTTCCTGAGCATGCTGAGGGGATTGGCTAGAACCGGCTGCCGACGACTCACGAGCCCTATGTACAGCATCTTCTAGAGATGATGAAGCTTCAGCAGTGCTTTCTTGCAGCGTTGCCGAACTTTTCGAAGGCTCTTCAACGATGTGCGCCCCGACCAACGCAAACTGAGCGTTGTGTACTAGGTCTAGTACAGGATCGTCTCCAAGCCAAAATGGTGACAAGACATCGGAGGAACCGCTTGAAGGCTCAGAAGAGTTTATTAGAACTTGACCTGAACTAGCAGTGTCAGGGCGGGCGACCTCGCTACCAAACGCTGCGCGGAATGGGCCGTCGGCCTGCACGAAGCTCGACAGTGAGGCTTGCGCTGCTCTGGCGTCATGCTGTGGAATGCGCATCGCCTCGTGGGGAGAGTTGCTAGATTCAGGTTCCACTAGATGAGAGCTGAACCTGGGGGCCACTTCTGAGAGGCTTGGTGAACCGCAGGAAGGGTTCCATGATGACGAGAGTAGAGCACCGTGCGATTCAGGCTTCAAAGTGGAAGACTGGGAAAAGGCACATGCCGACGAAGTGCAGCTAAGATTCTCCGAGGAAAGTGGCACTTGCTTACGAGGACTTTGTGAATTGGTCTCTGCAGTCCCTCCTGCATTGTTAAGGAATGGTACTGAGGATATTTTCTCTGAATGCGCTGGTGATGACACACTAAAGCCGTCCCATCCACCTGCATCCTCTGCAACTTGTGAGGGCTGAAGAGGCGCAACTCTTTGTATCGCCTCGGAAGGCATCTGCGTCCGCTCGTCGTGAGCCCACCAACTTTGCAGACAGCAAGTCGAGTCGCTGCCTGTACACGAGACATCCTCCTGCCTTCGTTTGCTCCAGCATAG